CAGCGCCTGCCGCCCCCAGCCGGGCCTGAGCCCGCCCGCAGTGATGGGCCTCACCCTTTGTCTGCCAGGAAAACCTACGCTCACCGGCGCCTCAAGTTCCTCTCCTCCAAGTTCAAGGTGCACGAGATGCTGAACGAGATGGAGGAGCTGAAGGAGCTGAAGAACAACCCCCACCGGGATTTCTACAACTGCCGGAAGGTGAGGCGCCGCCATTCCCGGCCGCTTCCCCCGCCTGCGCCTCTCCGCAGCCGCGGTCACCCCGAGCTGGGAGTGTGCGGGAGTGTCCCCCCCAGTCCCTGGGGTCACCCTGGGGGGCAGGCTGCTGCGTGGGGCAGTTGCCAAGGCTGCAGGCCGTGTCAGCGGCATCCTTCCTGTGCCCCTGGGTGTCCGGCCTCCTCGCTGCCGGGGCCGGCGGGGCTGACGGCTCCCCGCTGCCGCCAGGTGGACACCCACATCCACGCTGCGGCCTGCATGAACCAGAAGCACCTTCTGCGCTTCATCAAGAAGTCGTACCGCGTGGATGCCGAGCGGGTCGTCTATGACGCCAAGGGCAAGACACTCACCCTGAAGCAGCTCTTCCAGCAGCTCAGCCTGCACCCCTACGACTTGACGGTGGATTCCCTGGATGTCCACGCCGTGAGTCCGTGGGCCTGTGCCCTCCGAAGTCCCAGGTCTGCCCCCCCCAGGGCCATGCCCCAGGACACCCCCACCTACTTCTCCCAGGAGCTCTTCATCCCCTGACTCCCCCCACCCCGGGGCTCCTGCCCAGGCACGCACGGCACCAGCACTGCCCTATGGCAGGGGCCAGTTCTCTAGAACTGGGTTAACTGGCGCCTCCCCGCCGCGGCCTGAGCACCCTGCCCCTTTCGGCCCGCGAAGCATTGTCTGCCCTTGGCTCTGCCCCTGCTTTGCCCCCAGGGCCGCCAGACCTTCCAGCGCTTCGACAAGTTCAACGACAAGTACAACCCTGTGGGAGCCAGCGAGCTGCGCGACCTCTACCTGAAGACAGAGAACGCCATCGAGGGCGAGTACTTCGCCACCATCATCAAGGTGAGGGGCGAGGGCACAGGGCACCCCGCGGGCAGGCAGGGGAGTGGGCCACGCCTGACCACCCGCCCCCTCTCTGCAGGAAGTTGGCTCTGACCTGGAGGATGCCAAGTACCAGCACGCGGAGCCGCGCCTGTCCATCTACGGGCGCTCGCCAGAGGAGTGGCCCAAGCTGGCCAGCTGGTTCAACCGGCACAGGATCTACTCCCCCAACATGAAGTGGATGATCCAAGTGCCCAGGATTTAGTACGTGCCCCCCTCCCCGGAGACAGATGCCGGGAGTCGGGGCTCGGCTGGTGGGAGGGCAGCAGGGCCCCCTGCCGTGGCAGCCGTGGGAGGGCTGTAGAAGGGACTTAGGGGGCGTTGTGTCCTTGCTGGGGGCTCCTCCGCTGGAGGCTAACCCTGTTCTCTGTCCCCAGCGATGTGTTCAGGGCCAAGAACTTCCTCCCCAACTTTGGGCAGATGTTGGAGAACATTTTCGTGCCCGTGTTTGAAGCGACGCTCCGTCCTCAGGCCAACAAGGAGCTGAGCGTGTTCCTGCGCCACGTAAGCGCGGCCCAGAGAGGCCTGGGCCTGGTGAAGGGCTGGCAGGAGGGGTGGTGCCTCGGGGGGTCAGAGCCCGGCCCTGCCTGCCCCACTGGCAAGCTCGGCCTCAGCACCGGGGAGGCCAGCCCCACATCCTCCCTGCTTGGCCCAGAGCCCAGAGAGGGAGGCCTGTGAGATGAGGAGCAAGCCCCTTTCTGCATTTGCCTGGTGCGGGCCATCAAGGGAGGGCCAGGCAGGGTGGGCAGAGGCGGGGCCGAGGCCGCTGGGCCACTCCTGCACTGCAGGTGGGGCACGGGCTGGGGAGGTGCATGTCCAAAGTCACTTAGCCCCTGGGGAGGAAGGCGGCGTCCTGGTCCCAGAGCCAGGGCTAGGGGGTGGGGCTGACTCGCGCCCGCCTGCTCGTCCCGACAGATCACCGGCTTCGACAGCGTGGACGACGAGTCCAAGCACAGCGGGCACATGTTCTGCACCAAAAGCCCCACGCCGGACAAGTGGAGCCAGGCGAAGAACCCCTCCTACACCTACTACCTGTACTACATGTACGCCAACATCACGGTGCTCAACGCCCTCCGCAGGTAGGGCCCCGCCCCTTGCTGCTGGACCCTCCGGCGCCTGGCTCGCTGGCTGGGCGGCGCCTCCGGCGGCTCGGCGAGACCAGCGTTGGGCAGGGCTCCGCAGCTCTGTCTCCAGTGGGGAGGGCCCCGGCGCAGGAGCCCAGAGCCAGGCAGGGGCTGGAGTGACAGCAGAGAGAGTCTCCTCGCGCCCGGGCTGAAGGCCCTGAGGGGCAGGTGCTGGGCTCTGGGGCTCGGCCCTGGGGTCCCTCCCTGGGAATGGGTCCAGCCGGGCTCTGGCGGGAGAGGGGAGGGGCAGGGTACGTGTCCGTCCCAGGGAGAAGGTCGAGCTGGGCTCTGGGGCTTCCATCTCAGGCTCACTCTGCCCAGCAGTGTCCTTCCGCCCCCCGCGCTGGCCCTGTCGATCCACAGGTGCTGAGCTAGGGCAGCTGGAGGCTGTGGCCCCCGGCTTGCTGGGAATGGGTCCAGCCGGGCTCTGGCGGGAGAGGGGAGGGGCAGGGTACGTGTCCGTCCCAGGGAGAAGGTCGAGCTGGGCTCTGGGGCTTCCATCTCAGGCTCACTCTGCCCAGCAGTGTCCTTCCGCCCCCCGCGCTGGCCCTGTCGATCCACAGGTGCTGAGCTAGGGCAGCTGGAGGCTGTGGCCCCCGGCTTGAGGCGGTTTCCATCCTGCTGGGTTGCACGGCTCTCAGCCCCCCGCCCCTGCTGCAAAGGTGGCTACAGCCCCTGTGTCTGCCCGCAGGGGGGCGGG